AATGCAATTCAAGAAAACTTCAACTTTTTGAATAAATCAATCATTTCAGACCACGTGCAAAGTTCGATCGATCTTGTTTTGACAGGTTAAGGACGGGGCGGTAACATCTGCTGCGACGATACATGTATATACATCTTATTTATATATTAGTGGTGAAAAATAAGTTTTATTAATAAACACTGATTAATTTTTGAAATAAGAATAAGGTAAAATCATATAAAAAACAACAAAAACTGGTGATGGGGTTGAGGTGGCTGGGGTGTGAGATAGGAGGAGGGGAGAGAGGTAATACTATTAATGGTTATAGGGTGGGGATCTCAACTGTTTCCATTATGTGATCCAGAAATTGAAATAGATAATATTGATTTTTAGTATTGTTTATTGTCTTTCGAAGGTTATTTTACCACTATACAAATAAGAAGCTTTAAAAAAAGACGAAGTCATTCTTCATCGTTGATCTAAGGAATCTGTGTATGATTTGTCCCTGGCTGTCCACTTATCTGTCACATCTGTACGGTTATTAGATGTTGGTTAATTTATGGGGCTACTGTCTATACCTAAATGACACGCGGATTGATGTTTGGAATATGTTTACGCCGATGGAGGTTATACATCATGTAACTCAAGGAAAGTACAAGGAAACTAAATAAAAGTGCAGGCGCAGTTGAATTTTTAATTTAAATGAATTTTATTGGATTAATACTGCACAAAAGGATTGGTCGTAATTTATCACAACTTATCAATGTCCTCTCCATAATACAAGCACGCATAGGCAAAACTTAACAATGGCCTAACAATAATTAGCACATGATGTATTTCACAAAGTATGAGAAAATCAGCAAAAATAGGACAGTAGAAAAAGTGTCGGAGATCAGAAAAAAATACCGATAGATGAATTGAGTATCACAGTGTAGGAGTCAACATCTAGGTATAAATGATACTATATATTGACCTGTATTTAAGCAAACCGTTTACTATCAACAATAAATCTTTAAACATACTTACAAATAACTTTGTTTGTCACCAAACAACAGGCTTTCTAATGTAATATTGGTATACCATATTAAATGTTGAAATATTGTATTTCTTTGTACATTATACATTGAACAATGCAAAATAAAATGTTTAGCGTCCTCCATAGTATGTCCACACCTACAGGATGGACTGTCAATGAGATTGACACGGAATAAATCATAATTAAGATTACTAACGTTATTACGTATACGACAATGTAAAATGTTCACGTTCCTTTCTCCATACTCTTTAAAAACTTTTTCTCATAGGGGTACTTTATTTGGTTTGATAGAACTTTTAAACTGTTTTAATGTGGTACTATTTCTTTTTTCCAGAGACAGGTTATTCCATAAATCACAGGTATTAGGTATAAGAGAAGACATAGTTAGACTAAGACGATAATGAGGAATTTGATATTCATCTCAATTTCTAAGATTATAGGCAGACAAGTCAGACACTTTCGGACGAAGAGGGACACAAGAGAGTTTGGTGAATTTCCTGACTGAACCTGATAAAGAAGACTGAGTTTACTGAACGACCTTCTTTTAAGGATTGCCATTTTAATTCTTGATATACTCGAAATTTACTTGTAAAAATTGGGCAAACCTGTAATAATTCTGGCAGCTTCATACTGGATGTTTTCAATAGCTTCTGTGTCTTTTTCGTTACAATTATTCCAAACCTCACATACATCAAGACTTGTATACCTTCTCTAGATTCCTCTTTCTTAAAGTATATCTTAAATGTCTAAGGGTTGATAAATACTTCTTAGTTTTATTTATAATGCTATCAATATGAATACTCCATTTAGCATCCCCACTAATATTAACTCCTAAATGCTTTGAGAATTGACTATAGGAATCGACTTTCCGTCAAAATTAAATTTTGGTTCATAAGAGCAAGAAATGAGATTAATATGATTTAGTTTTCCTTGGATAAAAAGCCATAAACCATTCATGAGACCAAAGTTTTAGTTGTTCTAAATTAAAATTTATTACTTGCTCCAATTCGGTCAAATTCCCAGATGAATGTAATAAAGCAGTATCATCAGCAATAGTCTAGCAACTGATAATAAAGTATCTGAAATATCATTAATATATATGAAAAATAAAAGTGGCCCTAAGACTGAACCCAGTAGGACTCCAGCTTTGAGAACTCATTCAGAAGATGTATAATTTTTCATAACAACTGATTGTTTTCTTTCAGAGTTAGTGTTCAAACCATTTCAACAAATTTCCCGTGATTCCGTATTTTTCAAGTTTTAAAATTTACAGGCGCAGTCATTTGAGATATCAAAGCTCGTTATAAACCAGACCAAAAGTAGATATTCTTTTGTTCATATTTATGGAAATTTTATGAATTGTTCATGAATTAATATCATCTTTGAATCATGTATGCTGGAGACAGAGAAAATCGAACCCGAGGGTAACATATTGTTGAAGTTGCCAATTGCTAAACTTCGTTATTATTATGTCAATTATTGAGATTTCTTAGCCTGTATCACACGGGAATAGTGTTTTCTGAATGAAAAGCATATTTTTGATATTTATTATGGTATATAATTATTATGCAAACCAGTTAATTTCTACTAAAACATATTCCATGATATGGTTGTAATTACGGGGGGTTTGTAGGGTTCCTTGCCGACGTGGAGATTCTCAGATATAACCAAGCCAGGATTTTAGGTTCAACATTGTATTCGTCTGTAAATCATTAAAATATACACATAAGACACATACATTTCGTATCGAATACGAAACGCACCTGACTTAAATAACGCAATACACAATACACACGTACATTGATTGTAACATTCCACACCACACGTTTTCCAAACGACCAGACTTTAATTGGACAATACATAATTGACGAGATAATTTACACAATGGCGTACGCAATAATATATAAATGTGGTTTACACTATAAAAGTACGTTCTCCATTTATGAATATATAAACTAGAATTCTAGTGAGAATAAATACATACGCTCTACTAAATGACAAAAATATTGACCACGCCCGTCGGCGAAAATATAAAGGTAAATTAGAAATAGTCAGAAAATAATAATTTCAAGAATAAATAATACTTTACTTCTAATTCTATACTAGTTCCGAATATATAAAAAGTATTATTCTAGCCTATAAAATAAACAGAACATTGACCTACCTAGTATGTGGTACCTGGGATAGACTCCGTTCATGATGCTAATAATGTAGATTGAGATGATGTGATCGATGTGTTCAGTATGGAAGGTATCGATGAAATGGGCAGATAGAAAGTTCAGAGGTAGCGAAGAAAACTTTAGGGCGGGAAAAATGCACGCAATGCGACAGATGTCATAGGTCATTGGTCAAGTTGTCAAACTAGTTTACAAAAGACATACACAACATACACAATACGTCACATAGACCACACACGTATACACATCTAAAAACGAAAGTAGCGATGACGTGTACGGCGACTTCGGTAGTGAAAACGCGCACGGATAACGGAATGAAAGAACAAAATACGGATTAGAATATAAATAATGAAATCGTAAATTATATTGTTACTAAAGAACTCATATTCAGTATGTTCCCACTGAGTATGTACTTATTCAAATAATTATGAATATCAAAATAACAAGGGTGCTACATGGTGTAGTGCTTCTTGGAAAATGTTTTTGAACGGAACTCTGTTGCATACCATCATACATTGTTAAAAAGATAAATTTCAGTCCTTATGTTTACGTTCTAAACGGAAAAGGAAGACAACATTTTAACGTTCTATGCGGTCATATCCGGTTCAAAAACAAATTGTCAAGCTCTGGTTTTCTCTGGTTCCGTCTGCTTTTGTGGATTGGAAACCATTCTGGAATTTTCGTCATAATTTGAATATGACGTCACGTCATGATTGGTACCTGATTATTCAAACAGTTAGCAGAAGGAACCGAATTGATTGCGATTAGAAAACATTCACATGTAATGGTTCTTGTTGTTATTAGTTAGTAGGTTTAATTTACCACCACTACACCATGTAGCACCCTTGATACGCTCACTTACGCTCTCTGCACCTCGGGGATATGCCATCACAAAATCAAAAGCTCAGTGTGCGCCACCTTGTGGATGAAACAAGATGACTAGTTTGATCCTGCGATGTAAACTTGACGAGATTTGAAGTCGGGTGCCGCTCCTTTGTAATCTTCAAATAACAGGTATCAGTAATGCGATTGGTCAGGCTATTTTTCCTGAGACCAATCAAATAGCTAGCTGCGTGGCTTCAGTTTTGCTATGACGAATTCCATGGTCGCAGAGAGCGTAAGTGAGCGTTACCCATTGAGTATCGAGGATGTAGTGAACCCAGTGCGCCTCGACTTCATCAATGGCGCATGAAATGTAAATGTTATAACCTGTTTCTCAAACCTTATCTATGGCTGGCAATATATATCTTTTAACTAAGTATCAACTTAAGATTGTCAGAAAACAGCAGAGCAGAGTTTTAGAGTTCGTTATGTTGACTTTCAATATGATGTTTGGTAATGAAGTCAGAATTTTAAATTTCCATTTCAACAATTTGAAGACGGCGTGCTTCACGTTTGCAATAAAATACAAGCTTGGTTAAACTTCGGTTTTCCTGGGACATTTTTCATACAGTCTAGCTTTGCACGTGACAGTCCGTAGTCTGTATTCAGCAAAAAAATTTAACTTTAACATACTTCTTGTACAATAAAAATAGCTTATATTGAGATTGTCATGCCTGAAAGTTATATTGGTGTTAATGTAAGGATTAAAATTCATTGTCGATTAAATCCAACTCGGTAACTTTCGGCACTTTCCGTAATCGAGTAAAGGGGGATATGTTTGTAAGAAACCGGTAAAATATGGATATTAATCCTGACGTATACGTTAAAAACACCGAAGATATTCAATTTTACATCTCTGAGTGTTTGGTTTGATTCGTAAAACTTTTTTAAAGGTGTTTGATAGAAAAATAACACACAAATGCAGATAAAAAACTCTTTTTATTGATCATGAACGATAGGTGAGTGATTCTTCAAAATCCAAGGTTCCTTTCTCGATATACAAATATCTTCTCTTCACCCTTGGGACGTGTCATAGCGAAATCGAAAACGAGGTTATCTATTAGTATCTGATTGATTTCAGGTATAAAAAATAGGTTTGTAAAACATGTCGTTCCAGTCAGTTTTACCGTTTCTGTGCCGCAGGATTATTTTGATGAACATCAATGGATCAAACTTGTTTAGGCCTTATTGTATCGTTCGCAAGTTGGAGCGTTCATAACCTTCGATTTTGGCACGACGTATTCCAGGAGTATAGAGAAGATACGTGCATCGAGAGTGGACAATTTATCTAATTAACAAAGATTATAAAAAAGTTATTCCTACTTATATATCTATCACTCTTGTCGGCCAGATCGAAGCGAAGTGGGCCTGAGTGTGGGATGAAACCAATGTTCCGAGAGAAATCCAAGTTGTGGGGCAGGTCACCAAATAACTTTCCACGTTCGATCGGGGAATCGAACACCGGCCGTCTTGGTGGAAGACGAGTTCGCCTTCCACTGCGCCACCTGACCACACTTGGATTTCGAAGATGACATAAATGTGACATGAAATAAACATGTAATGTTCTACGGTGTTTAATAAGGAAACATATAAGGATAGTCTGCGCATGTTGGCTGCGTGGAAGGGGTTGATGGGCAGTTGTACATCAGTCGTAGGGCCTGCACGTCGCCTTCGCTCATAGCCGTCGACCTCCCGATTATGTTCAAATACCAAAATCGGTTGATTGCTGGAATTGGTTCAATTGTGAAGGTACCATCTTTGCTGAATGCCTACAAAAAGACAAATGGCAAAGTTCTAAACGAATGATTGTCTTTTTTCTAAAATGTTTTCATATCATTAAATCATAAAATTTTCAATTACAATTTACTCTATAACCTTTGACCTTTTGTCACTTTCCCTAAATCGTCCTAGTTGTTCACGTTTGCGTAAATGCAGTGTTTACAATGGGTCAGCGAAGTGAACATTTAAAAAAAATATAGTAAGAACATTCTGACTTACTTATTAGACCGTTTTGAATATGCCAATGCTGTTAATACTACAAACAGATGAACAAGATGGACATTGTTTTTTTTTGTCAAGATTTTCGTGGTGTGTTGAGCATACTTAAGGTTTGACCACTATGTGATTCTGAGAGCCGCTCACCCTGTTACTGTAGTGCATGATACTCGTGTAGTCGTAAGGGATTCCTCTTGAGTTGATGGTTCGGCGGCTGAACTTCTGGAAATTTCTCTCCATGCCACTGCGTATGTTGCTTGAATTAATTTTCACAAAAAAGTCTCTGTCCGGTCTAGATTGTTCGTGAAACAGTCCTAACGCGTGTAGGAGCTCGTGTGTGGCCACTCGAAACTGTAATAAAAAAACTGAATGGTCAGAGTACTGTCCAAAAAATACAAAAATCTTAGCATTTGTAGTAAACTTCTTAACTGTTTTAAAAAAACAGAAAAAGATATATAAATGTGCAAGTATGTATGTATGTATGTATGTATGTATGTACGTGTATATGTATGATGTACGTATGTATGTATGTATGTATGTATGTATGTATGTATGCATGTACGTATGAATGTATGTATGTACGTGTATATGTATGTATGTATGTATGCATGTATATATATATATGTGTTTGTATGTATGCACGTACATGTATGTATGTATGTATGTATGTATGTATGGATGTATGTATGTATGTATGTATGTATGTATGCATGTACGTATGAATGTATGTATGTACGTGTATATGTATGTATGTATGTATGTATGCATGTATATATATATATGTGTTTGTATGTATGCACGTACATGTATGTATGTATGTATGTATGTATGTATGGATGTATGTATGTATGTATGTATGTATGTATGCATGTATGTATGTATGTATGTATGTATGTATGGATGTATGTATGTATGTATGTACGTACGTATGTACGTATGTAGTATGTACGTATGTACGTAGGCATGTATGTACGTATGTACGCATTTATGCGCCTATGCACGTATGCATGAATGTACGTATGTACGTTTGTATGTATGTATGTATGCATGTATGTATGTATGTATGTATGTATGTATGCATGTACGTATGAATGTATGTATGTACGTGTATATGTATGTATGTATGTATGCATGTATATATATGTGTTTGTATGTATGCACGTACATGTATGTATGTATGTATGTATGTATGTATGCATGTACGTATGAATGTATGTATGTACGTGTATATGTATGTATGTATGTATGTATGTATGTATCTATGTATGTATGTATGTATGTATGTACGTACGTATGTACGTACGTACGTACGTATGTATGTACGTACGTATGTATGTATGTATGTATGTATGTATTGTATGTATGTATGTATGTATGTATGTATGTTTGTATGTATGTATGTATGTATGTATGTAGTATGTATGTATGTATGTATGTATGTATGCATGTATGTATGTATGTATGTATGTATGTATGGATGTATGTATGTATGTATGTATGTATGTATGGATGTATGTATGTATGTATGTACGTACGTATGTACGTACGTACGTACGTATGTATGTACGTACGTATGTATGTATGTATGTATGTATGTATGTACGCGTATATGTATGATGTACGTATGTATGTATGTATGTATGTATGTATTGTATGTATGTATGTATGTATGTATGTATGTCTGTATGTATGTATGTACGTATGTATGTATGTATGTACGTGTATATGTATGATGTACGTATGTATGTATGTATGTATGTATGTACGTATGTATGTATGTATGTACGTGTATATGTATGCATGTATGTACGTATGTATGTATGTATGTATGTATGTACGTATGTATGTATGTATGTACGTGTATATGTATGCATGTATGTACGTATGTATGTATGTATGTATGTATGTACGTACGTATGTACGTATGTAGTATGTGTTTGTATGTATGCACGTACATGTATGTATGTATGTATGTATGTATGTATGCATGTATGTATGTACGTACGTGTATATGTATGCATGTATGTACGTATGTATGTATGTATGTATGTATGTATTGTATGTATGTATGTATGTATGTATGTATGTTTGTATGTATGTATGTATGTATGTATGTAGTATGTATGTATGTATGTATGTATGTATGCATGTATGTATGTATGTATGTATGTATGTATGTACGTACGTATGTACGTATGTAGTATGTACGTATGTACGTATGCATGTATGTACGTATGTACGCATTTATGCGCCTATGCACGTATGCATGAATGTACGTATGTACGTTTGTATGTATGTATGTATGTATGTATGTATGTATGTATGTATGTACTCATTCACCCCTACAGTTTTAAACTGGACTTGCTCATTCTTTGATTTAGTAAGTTGAGGGGGGAATGGGTTAGACTGCAGCATTATAGTTATTCGAAATTCGAAATATTTGAAATAAAATCTTACTGTTCTGCATTTTGAGTTAAGTGTAAGATCCTGTGAGTTCTGTCTTCCTCGGGATCTCGTCGTTACCCCAACATAGGAACTACAGCTGGAAAATAAACAAAGTATGAAGGTCACTTCAGTGAATTTAACTTGATGTTAAGGAAACTGCCTTGTCTGACGTCATTCGGAACACAACATAATTGTCAATCTAAAACATGTTGTCGGAATACATCACAAGTTTTCATTGAATTCGGATTACAGAATTATGCTTGAATAGACAGGATGTCATAATTCTCAAGGGTTTGCATTAGACAGGTACGTCCCAACAATAATATTTACACTTGATGTAAGGGTTACCAATAGGTTCTTTCGTGCCCTTGATTTTCATGATTTGCGTCTACGAATACTTAATGGCAACCAATAAATCATCCTCGATATCCAGGGATTTCGATCACTTTCGCTCTCTACACCCCTGGAATATGTCATAGCAAAACTGAAGGCTCAGTGTGTACCACCTTGTAGATGAGACAAGAAGACTAGTTCGATCCTTTGATGTACATCAAAAGAATCTCGCGGTCGCGTAACGGAAAAAAATTGACAGGCTTTGAAGTCGAGTGTTTCTCCTTTGTAATCTTCAAAGGACAGGTATCAGCGTAGCGATTGGTCGTTTTTTTTTACCCGAGACCAATCAAACAGCTATAGTCGTGCCTTCAGTTTCTCTATGACATATTTCAGGGGTGCAGAGAGCGAAACTGAGAGTAACCCCGGGATATTGAGGATGGCAATAAATTGGTGTTGAAGTTTGTACTTGTAGAATATGTATCCGATTTGGAATGATTTTAGCGTTTGAATAATTAATTTAGCAATGTTGGAATGAATGAATAACATATTCTGTTGCAAATTGCTACCAAATATAAATGCTTTTTTTATAAATTTACAAAGAAATTGAAATGATATTTTTAGCTCAGAACTATCTCTCTTACCAAGATACGGTATTAATCTTTCATTTTGTTGCAATGCATTTTCAACTCTTGAATTCCAACCTATTTAACAGAAGCACGCTCGGTAGTGGAAGGCTTCTTGTTCAACTTTTAGGATTACATATTTTGTTTTAAATATTTGTTTTCAAATGCACTCAAATGTTGAAAACCTGTAGCTTTTTAAAATGTATCATACTGTGTGGATTTCATTGAATAATTCTGTAGCAAATTAGAATTTTAACAAATATTTCGATTTTAATAAACATATTTTCACTTGTTGTTACTGGAAGTGACAGTCGTCAACTAATTCATCCCTATAGTTTTGAACTGGACTTGCTCATTCTTTGATTCAGTTAGTTCAACTGTGACTTTAGGGGTGAATGGGTTAGACTGACATCACCGTCAGCTATACCTACCCGGATCCATCGACGATCTGCACGTGCGGTATACCACTGTCAGCGACTTCGTTGTCAATAATCCGGAAGCATATACAGGTTTGTTCCGAGATCCTCATCATGGCTCGCTGGATGGTCCATCTGTCAAAGGCGCCTATAATGAAACATAACTATCAGTCTCTATCATTGTTTGCTTAATAAGTTGTTCAGGCGAAATTTTCCAAATGGTGTGTTTTGTTTGATATGTTCTTAAACATTACTAAAACATTTCCAGGTTAATAAACGATTTTAACTCTTCAACAAATTTACTAAGGTTCATAGAACGTTTTGCTTAAAATTGTTCAATGGATAATTTTATATGTATTATCATCAAACTTACAATGTATTGAACTACTTAAACGAGTAACAAATTTAATTGGAGAGCATTTGGAAAATAATCCTAGTAAATCAAAACCACAGTGTACCATCCAACCTGAATTTGTTTTTGAAATTTGTGAGACACAAAATAAATGTTAAACAGATGATCCCAATTCATACGTCATTTTTATTTCACTCTCTGTATCGTTCTATGGAAGGTTTCGCCATCCAGCTGTTTCGTCCTTCCATCAATCATTGGTGAATTTAGGAGACACAAATGGTTGAAATCTAAATTGGCCTAAACACCTATCAAAACAGGAGGGGGTCGAGGTGCATACAAAACAAAACCGATTAAACTGTATTTAAAACCAATACTTCTATTTTATGAAGTCAAATAAGACACAGCGTCAACGCACATGGTCAAAATCGAAACCAAATTCAGTGCAAAGCATCAACGTCAACCAAGGAAATAAAAAGATAAGACATTATAAACTTACTAAAACCCGAGCTTGCAATTCGTACGGGCATAACTGCGTCAGGCCAAAGTCGATTGGGGTCTCGTCTGGCTGCTCTTTTTACACGTGACGATGGCCGACCTGATCGTGCGCCTGCACTGATCTCATTCATTAAGGTTTGCACAGATGTGATCCGGTCTGTAGTATTTAACATCATAGCTACGGCGTCCTCAAGCAAATCAAAAGAGCTGAAAAAATGTTTTAGAAAAAATATTGCAATTTCCGACGATCTGACATGTTCTTCAATAATGTTTAATTTTTATGAAGACGTTACAATCTTCTCAATTTGTATCATGTTGTTCTGTTTGTCTGTAACCAGTATAAACTTCATCTTGCTTCCTTTTTCTGCAACAATGATGCATATAATATCTTTCATAAATAATTTATTAATATTTGTAGATTGTTTTTGAAAGCGTTAAATTAAAACAGATAAAATTATTTTATAAAACACAATAATAAATACATGACATCCATTGTATCTTCATTTAATTTAATGTATTGTTGTACTGGCTGCAGGTAGGTGATTTTTCTCCAGAAACTCCGGATTTTTTCTACCACCAAAACCCGAAAGGTACTTAAATGACCGTAGATGTTAATAGGACGTAGAACACCAAAAACCCAAACCAAACCGAACTTTACTGTTGCTTTCACCTTGATTATTTCGAAATAATAAGCAAGGCAGACTAAAACCAATGAGAAATATTTGACATTGTATGGACGTAAAGGAATTTATCATAAAGAGGTCTACTGGTTTTGATATGGATGTGCCTCTTCTAAAACAAATGTTAATATTCTATTACCTAATGTCACGCGCATTGTTTGCAATACCGTTAACTGGATAGAAGATTTAAAATTACAAAGCCACAAACATTGTATTATTTGTGTATGTTGGATGTAACTTAACGCAGATCCAGGCTAACGTGAAATGGGCCTTTGAACCTGTGCACCCATGTTTCCGCCTTCTTGAAAGACCAGTAGCTTCTTGGGCACTTTTCATTTTACTATATCAAAAGCTAAATTGTGCAACTATGCATTTAGAATAAAGTAGATGTACGAAATTCTTAAAACATTGTCTAATTTGGTTCTCAATCGTTTACAAACATGCCAGAATCAACGGCCCCTCCAAAATATAGAAAATGCATTTCCACTGTCCTTATTCAGGCATATTCGGTTAGTACTGGAAGCAACATGAGCGAAATTGCATGTCCTTATTTCTCTAGAAAGTGCTAAGGTTACTTTGGTCTCCGTACAGGCCCGGGGATATATAAAAACATGTTGTATGTACTATGCGGCTACGAAAGAATCCTCCTGTATGATCCAGATTATCTCTTGTATCCTCTGCCAAACGGACATGGAACCATAACCCCCATTGAAACAGTTGGCCTCTATCTTTTCTCGGCTATCGGTGGTCGTCATATGATTTTGGCTTCTGCAAGGACATAAACCACTGAACTCTACAAGCTAAGACTACCTCTGATCGAGTGTCCTTATGGCGAAATCACTTATCTATTTAATACGAGGTTATTCCATTCTTTGTTTTTGCGTGCAAAAAAGGAATGTATACTGACATGCAGCCTTGCACGAGTTTTCTTTGTTTTCTTCAAATTTGCCCCGTTGTCATATTTTGTATGAGTCCAAAATATTATCATATCTCTAAACATTTTCTTCAGGTTGGTAAGTATGTTGTAAGTATATAACACCTTCAAGTCTGAATATAAGGTGCCCATTTAACACACTAGATGCTAGAAATATCATCAAAAAAGCACAGAAAGATCTATTAAATGAGTCTATTTTGTTGTTAACAACCCGTATTCTCTCTATCGAGTGACACTGTAGGGGATATGAACGAGCGTTCGAAACAACTAAACAACGCCACTTGACTAAATTAAACCGTCTTGTAGCGAAATCAACACAACACAACACAAATGCAGCTCTGAAGGATTCTATGCTAAACAAAAGGGTAGTCACTTCTCTAATGAGGAGCTCGCCACGAGAAAACGTTACTCGCTAAGGGTATGAACTATGCCATCGTTCCAGATAAAATCCCAGTTGATGATTTTGTTATAGCCACAGAACAGGCATGTAAGAAACTAAGCTATGCTGATTCTGACCAACTGAGGTCCCTGGTGACGGGGGTTTTAAAATCCTCGAAAATACCAACAAATAATATGACGAAAGAAGAACGGGGCACACTCCAAACAGTAGGCAGAGACAAATCCATTACCATACTACCAGCTGGTAAGGGGAAGGCAACAGTTGTCATGGACACCGAAGATTATGAGGCCAAGGTCACAACAATGATAACATATTAACAGCTGCAGACCAATCCAGCTCAAAAGTTTAAAAGGCGTCTCATAGCCATCCTGTCAAATTTAAAACAAGAGAGCAAGATCAACGAAGGCCAATACAGATATATGTATCCCACAGCAGAGAACACTTCTAGAATGTAATGTACAACCGAGATCCATAAGCAGGGAAACCCACTGTGGCCTATTGTGGACTTAACTGGATCAATTGGTTACAATGTTTCCAGATAATTAGCAGACATTCTTGGACCGCTAGTGGGTAAAACGGAAGACCATGTAAAGAATTTAAAACATCTAGCAGAAGCTATGTGTACCATAATGATTCAAGAAAGAAGACGGAACCGTGAAGGTATTGGTCATCACGTATATAAATGGTATATTCGAAACCATCCAGAGGATATGTCGCGGTCATGGCGTAGCAACAGCCATGAAGCCCCACAAGACGCTTCGCAATATCCTAGTTTACCCTAAGTATAAAACACCTTAATAAAACGTCGCAGAATGCGTATACAAAATCGAATGCAAAAACTGCGACACGCCGTACATTGGAGAGACTAGAAGGCGTTTTGGGGTCCGACTTGGTGAACACCGGACAGATTCACCAGATCAGAAAGGAAGCAGTCGGAGTCCCAGATAAATAAATCGAGACTAGAGGGATCAAAGACTCTCGCACATCTATGACCAAGTATTAAACAAAGCGTAGCTGAATCAAGTCATTTCTGTACATATATAACAACATTTTTGACCAGTTACTCAAAAGACCAATCGATGACACCAAGCAGTTGTTATGACATTTTCTTTGATTGTCATCATCTCCATGTTTAAAGTTATTAAATGCTGAAGGCTGTATAGATCATCAACAGTGAATATACCACTGGGACAAGCGTTGCGTTAGGTACTTGTCAAATGTCCATCTTTCTTCTAACCTTAGTCTTTTTCTTTAGGTGTTGTTTTGGATTCTCATTGAAAGGTGTGGAAAACCTCTTCTCGTATTTTCTATAACGTCGCCCATTGTTAGACTTGTGTATACACTAATAGTCCTAAACTCATTCTTCGATATATAGAGGCAGTGTACACTCTCTACAAATCTGATCGGTCACCTGTTTATTGTAAGCTATCTACTGCTCTATAAAACACGGGGACGCTACATCGTTTATAATGATTGCATATGGCAAAAATGTACATGGTATAATTGTGTAGAGGACGACGAATATTAGTGTTTAGAAAATCCTTATGTTGTACAGTTCCTGGCAAATGGTTCATAGTACATGGATATATACATTTGGAATTATGCATGCAGGGGATAGACCTAAATTGAATGTACTTGGATGTAATTTACAAGGTTGTTGATGTACGATAATGTTCAAAATATAACATGATGCTATGCTGTACTGGTATATTGGTATATTGATATACCATTTATACTTTATTTAGTTCTTTCTCTTTAATAAAGCCAGTTCGTAAGGTTCTTCGAACAGCAAAGGTAGTGTTTTCACAGTTGGAACATAGTGGTCAGCTTACTTAATACTAGTAATATGTTATTCTTAAAATACGTTTCCCTTGTATTGCATTTGGAGGATACCAAGCATTTTGTTTTGTTTGTGCTTTACGGCCTATAAACAGCTGTGGTCATTTATTGACGAGCCAGGTCAGAGTGATGGAGGCAAACCGGAGTACCCGATGAAAAACAAACGACCTGCAGACAATACCTGGCGACTGTTCCAAATAGGCTTCGAATTCACAATGGTGGAGGGCTAGTGATCGTACACGGTCAGGCGCCTTAACAACTTAGCCACCATGGCCCAAAGAAATTGTAAATGCTTACTGAAAAAAACTTACATATGTGTTTGCATGTCTGTAAACTGATCCACGGTCATCATAATGTCTCCTTCCAATTTGAAGGCATTTTCTTTCTCAATATAGGACGGTTCAGCCTTAATAGATGCTGCGGGATCTGCAAAGAAAAATATAGCTTGTCAAAACCTAATAAAAAATTCATCTAAAAGTGATTTACATTTACATGTTATACCTGAAAGAGATGTATCTATTTATTTAAGACATATCTCAAAAATAATTGAGATGTCACAAATTACTGCATCATGACACGTGTATGACAGACAGCGGCTATAATAAATACCTTCAGCTTCCTCTATGATCTGGTCTATAGGCACGATGTCTTGGTTGGTCCGTGACGATGATGCAGAGTTATGATTCAACTGAAAACAAGAATTATAATAATATATTTGTTACTGTAAATAATTTCATTTTCGTGAGACATTGATTTTCACGTCGATTCGCGAATTCAATTTCTGTAAATATCAATTCCACGAATGATTTCTAACAGAATGGAATTAACGTCCTCTTAATTATGAATTTTAGTAAAACCTGCAGACATATTCGGGGAGTAAGCACATGCGAAAATAAGTGATTTACAGTATTTATTTTCATTTTTGATATTTAATGTTTTATTTTGTATTGTATCGATATTAAAACTTATATTTGGCAATAGTCAAATCACAGAAAAGCCCTCCGAAAATGACAAACAACAGAATATCCATGTCTTGTTCAACAAAAGGTGGATGACAGTTGGACGGATATATGTGTACGTGTGTATGACGTTATTAATGCTAATTTTATAGACAGGCGATTATAAATGATCACAATTAATAATACGAGAGGTGACACAAATATCAGTCAAGAGGTTGTTTATGAAATGAACACCAGCGCAGACTAATTGCCAATAAATTTACACTTTTCTGCAGACAGTTGACAAGCAGACCCAAATCTGAACTATTTTTTCTAATAAAAACGTCAGGCATCTATTTTAATTTCTGAAAGTTCTCAAGAAAAGTGATATTCATGTTAATATCGAGACAGAAAAGTCTGTATATTCAGTGGGATAGCATCACTCAAAAGGGAAATGGAGTTGAGAGAAGTTTCCTTTAATTAATAAAGACAGAACAGTTGAACAAACAGTCAAGAGTCATTCATTCTGATGTTTAGCAGAGAAAACTTATAATACCAATATTCGAACAAGCGATTCATTATTATTTTGCATGGTAACAGACTCAGTTATGAGTACTATGATATATTTCTCATTCAAAATAATTCAACGCTTCGACAATGGAGTGACTCTTGGTTAGCCAGCACCGAAATACAAAAGTTCCGCTCTCGAAATGCAAATTCGAAGGCTTTGTACATGTACGTGGAATACTGCATTACATTGTTCTTTTAAATCACAGGTATGCAGGTTTCCTGCTCACTCGTGAAAACATTGAAGCGTTCTACCCCACTCATGAAATTTACATAGCATTCAAATGAAACCATTGAAGATCCGCTATATTTAGACATTAAGATCTTGACCTATTTACAGTACATTAGGATAATATCGGGATAGGTACTGATCTATGACGTCGCTTCTATGACCATGAACAATGGGAAAATATATAATTGATGTTAACACTACATGCATACCAACAAAACATTTACAGGTTCAAAGCGAGCGCTTGAGGAAGTTTGTTGTTTTCAGTTGCGACACATGTTGTCTATTATTGTCAACTGAAGCCTCTGATAAAGATATGATTACTAACTATTTTATGGAATATTAATGTATTTTTTGTTTCATTTGTTTTCAGGTACCTGAAAATATTATCTAAAATAACTTATGCATAAGGCCACTTGTTTGTTAGAAAAATGATAATGATTTATATAAGAACACCGTACTTGTTTCTTCATCATGTTTGCTGATTTGATTTGTACTATTCATGTCATGTATTCAACAACTTGAATAAATATAGTTTAAATCAAAAATACATCAAAACACTTAATGGATACAAAATACTACTTTGCATTAAGTTGGGAGACGGTATCAATAAGTACAAATTCCTAATAACGAAATGCATTTGTCTTTAAATAAGGCGTCTGACATTCTGCTTCCACTAGCCCTCCGCCACTGGGTCACAGGTTCGAAACCTATGTGGGGCAGTCCCCAGGTACTGGCAATAGGTCGGTGTTTTTTCTCCGAGAACTCCGGCTTTCCTCCACCACCAAAACCTGGCCAAGCCCTTAAATGACCATAGCTGTTAATAGGACGTAAAACACAAACAAACCAAATATATAAAAATATAAATACTTACCGATTTAAAAAGTTTTACGATTTTAAACAGCGAATCGACGTCAGTGACGAGTCGAGAAAGCAAACGACGTAGTGCCGGACTAGATTGTGTTGGTAGCTGACCGATTGTAGTTCCTATATGAAGCCACAAGAGCAAGTAAACAAGCACAGTTCTCATCAACGTTAGATTCTTCATCGTTCTCGACGGATACTGAAATACTGAATATAAAAATTAAAAACTCTTAATAATTCGTTAGATAATACAAAACCAACAAAGTATTCCTTTCAGTCTTGAATCAACTGTTCAAAACGAGGAAATTGAATCCTGCAGTTTTCTTTTACATATTCACGCATACCTCAATGAGACAACTGTCTTAAATACAGTTTTATATGGGTAAAACAGCACCTATGCTCCACCCACTTCTAGATAGGTTAATCATTATCATGAGTAATTTGATTGATAGGTGTGCGCCAGTTTCCTTTTGCATCGTTGTTCGTTTGCCATAGAAATCCGCCATCTTGGATCGTCTGTGTGACGGGCTCCACTACGTGGTCCAGTACGAACATTTCGTCATTGATGTCGTAACTAGACATATCCCTGTAAAAGTAACAAACAAAAAAAAGTATAAATTAAATTCGAAAAAACATAAAGTATAAGAAAGGCCCCCGCACGTTTTACGAAATACCCCGTTACTAGTAACATGGAAGTAGAATAAGAAAGATTGTGGAAGGACCCTTCCTTTCAGGGTAGTTTTACAGGTCCAAAAAACCTGTATTTAGCCCTAACAAACGCTATTCTATATCGAAAATACGCAAATGGTTAAAATAATCACATTAGTGATGGTAATCTTAGGCAAACGCACGTTTCCAAAAGGAACCTTCCATTAGGTCGTGAGGATTCGAATACATGTGGGACGCCTATTTGGCAGACGTCAGTAGAATGAAAATGAATAACAAGTATAACAGATTTGAGTTTCTGTATATATCGAGTCTTCTGAAAGAAAAACTCAATAAAATAAAAATACAGTTTTAAAAATAGCACCAAACAAAATGCTTTATATTGTAATACTGGTATACAATATTAAATATTAAAACATTTTATTTTTTGATGCCCACAATAAAATGATTATAACATGTTGAACAAGTATATTAGAACGAGTGTGTTCCCATTAAAAAGGCAACGGAAAATAAATGTGAATAAATCTGTGTTGTTGAATGACGAACATGAATGGAAAGAACGAATGCCAAAAGATAGTGATTCTGACAGATTTGTAATGGTTCATAATATATTGCAATAACAAATACTATGGAAACTGGCAATAAAATTCCCGGAGTTTTAAGATTCGATATTATATGTTACGAAATTAATAGTTAATATTCGTACTGGTAAAGTCAAAAAGCTATGTCATAGATGTGATATTATTTACCAAGATAGATTAACTCATATTGTATTAAAGTGTAGTTATACTGAACACCTACTGGACAAGTTGTGGCGCTCTATCGCAAACATTAGTGACACTGGTATACTAATGAGTGCGTACACACACTCTCTGACAGATCACGAATTAGTTCATATTTTAATTGGGGAACAAATGACGAATTAAATGTATTAGACAGAATTAAGATTGAAATCAGTAGCAGCTGTCGAAAACAATGCACACATTATACTACCGGTAGTGTGTAGATATAATCTCACACTCTGATAAAGATTAATATAAACAAAATAAAAATTAAAAATAATATAAATGTTTAATATTTGTATGTATTACCTCATCATATATACACTTATTAATGATATTTATTGAATGTATGTGTCATGTATGTTATTTGGTGCTTATGTGTATTTGATAAGATTTTTTGTAATGTAGATATGTGAGCATTATTCTGTTTAAATGTAATCTTCAAATTGGAGGAAATAAAGAAAATAATAATAATAATAATTAAGATTACTAAAATAATAACGTATACGACAATGTAAAATGTTCATGTTCCTTCCTCCATACACTTTAAAAAAACTTTTTCTCATAGGGATACTTTATTTGGTTTGATAGAACTTTTGAACTGTTTCAATGTGGTACTATTTCTTTTTTCCAAAGACAGGTTATTCCATAAATTACAGGTATTAGGTATAAAAGAAGACATAGTTAGACTAAGACGATAATGAGGAATTTGATATTCATCTCAATTTCTAAGATTATAGGCAGACAAGTCATCCACTTTCGGACGAAGAGGGCCACAAGAGAGTTTGGTGAATTTCCTGACTGAACCTGATAAAGAAGACTGAGTTTATTGAACAACCTACCTTCTTTTAAGGAATGCCAGTTTAATTCTTGCTATAGTCGGATTTACTTGTAAAAATTGGGCAAACCTGTAATAATTCTGGCGGCTTCATACTATTACAAATAATATGTTAAAACGAGCTAAAGAACTTTTCTACAAAAATGTCGACTCTATCATAGTCAAAAATAAATCTAACCCCAAAACATACTGGAAATTGTTAAGGCTTGTACTGAAAGGAAGCAAATCTACTGAAATATCACCACTTTTTGATGACAATGCTAACGAATTCACGAATGAAAATAACCATAAATGTGAACTTCTTGATCAAATATTTTTCTTCAATATCCAGGCATTCCGAAGTAGACCAAAACAAACCTATTCCCATTTTATAAAAACGAACAGACTCTCTTTTGTCCGAAATTCATATAATTCCTTCTGAAATAGTTGATATTATTAACGTACTAGATGTAAATAAGGCAACAGGGCCTGACAGAATCCGTCATCGTATGTTAAAACTTGTAGCAAATGAAATTATCATTTCCCTCATTTTTAATCACTCCCTATTCAATGGTATATATCCCGATACATGGAAATTAGCAAACGTCATGCCGATCTTTAAGTCTGGCGACGCTCATTATGTTTCGAATTATAGACCAATATCAATATTTAGCTGTGTTGGAAATTATTTGAACGTACAGTAAAAACATATTTACAATTTTTTTAACTCCAATAATCTTACTTACAAACTTTAGTCTGGATTCTTACCCAAACTTTCTTGTACGCATGAACTCATTGAAATGTACCATTCTATGAAGTTAGCATTAGAAAACCATGAACATACAGCTTTTACTTTTTGTGATTTTTCAAAAGCCTTCGATCGAGTTTGGAATACAGAGCTTATATACAAACTTCATCAACATGGTATTTCAGGCAGTCTCCTTAATTGGATAACAAACTATCTTTTTGAGCGTAAGCAATCCGTTTTTATTCATGATTCACATTCTTCTGTAAGAAATATTAACGCCGGTGTTCAAGGTTCAATGTTAGGCCCTTTATTCTTGTTGAATTATATTAACGACATTTCAACCGAACTCTACTCATTATTTCGCCTTTTTGCTGACGATACGTCGCTTTCAAACTCATCACCGAACCTAGAAAATATTGTAAGTGAAGTAAATAAATTCTAGAGAAATGGTCGAAAAATTGGCTGATGTCCTTTAATCCTAAACCCCGAAATCATGATTGTTTCTAATACAAATCTACCCTTTCAACCCCAAGTTATTTTTAACGATCCTTTTAACAGATAACCACAAACACATTGGAGTTATACTAAGTAGCGACGGCAAATGGAATAAACATGAAGAGGAACTTATAAAAAAGTGGCAAAATATATAGCAACCCTTCTTCAAATGAAATTGATACTCAGTAGAAATAACATTGAAAAACTATATTTAACGTACATTCGACCCTTATTAGAGTATGCATGTGAAGTCTGGGACAATTGTCGAATAGTTAATTCATCAAAACTTGAAAATATTCAGATAGACGCTGCACGAATTGTTACAGGACTACCCCTAAACACAAAAATTGAACTTATATTTAATGAAATTGGCTGGGTTCCACTAAGTAATAGAAGGAAAAACAGAAAAGTATCCCTATTCCTTACAATTAAAAACGGTACAGCTCCAAATTATATTTGTGACACCATACCAGATAGCAATGGGGTAATTCCCGTTATAACCTAAGAAATTCCCAACATTTAAGACAACTAAACTTTAGGCTTGAAACTATGCGCAATTCTTTTTTCCCTATCAACTACAATAATTTTGAACGACCTAGATATATCTATAAGGAATTCGGCTTCTCTCAGTTAATTTAAAACAAATATAAAATCGAAAGGTACAATACATAATAAATGCTTTCTGGTATTGGGTTCCCGTAAATTAAACATACTTCATTGCCGTTTGAGAAACCGTGCGAGTTATCTTAACTATGACCTATTTAGAGCAAATTTATCTAATACAGCTGGATTTGCATGCGGTAATCCATATGAAGACTCATATCACTTCCTCTGTTCTGTACCTGTCCCCTATACACCCAGCATCGAAATATATTAATAAGAGAGCTAAAACCTTTTCTTGATGATTTAACTTTAAACTTGCTCCTATATGGCGATCCTAAATTCAGCAATGATGAAAATACCTCAATTGCAAAATCTGTCCAAAATATATCAGCAAATGCAGCCGGTTTGGCTGAATGTGATCATCTTTCTCTATCACTCTTTTTTCTCCGACTCTACCTGTGTTACTATCCTTTACTTCGTTTCTCTATCCGTCTTTTCATTTTCTATTTCCATATGCAAACATAATTTATATATATTGCGTAAATTACCTCATCAAGTTATTGTTTATATTCATGTTTTTGAAGAAAAGGACTGTGATAAATTGTGAAAACTTTTGTAAGTATTTATTTGCAGTAAAATATGTTTAAATCACTGGATGTTTTCAATAGCCTCTGCACGATCGGTAGTTGAAGGCTCCTTGTTCAACTTTTAGATTAACATTTGAATTTTATTACTTGCTCCAATTTGGCTATCTGAAATCTGAAATACCATTAATATATATGAGAAATAAAAGTGGCCCTAAGACTGAACCCTGTGGGACTCCAGCTTTAAGAACTCTTTCGGAAGAAGTACAACTGATTGTTTCCTTTCAGAGAGGTAGTGTTCAAACCATTTCAACTCCTGTGATTCCATTTTTTTTCAAGTTACAAAATTTGCAGGCGCAGTCACTTTTAGAAACATCCATCGTGCGCATTTGAGATATCATTTGGAAAAAAATCCTGGTAAATCATAACTAAAGTGTAGCATCCAACCTAAATTTGTTTTCGAAATTTGTGAGATACAAACAATTGTTAAACAGATGTTCCCAATTCATACGTCATTTTTATTTCATTCTCTGTATCGTTCTATGGAAGGTTTCGCCATACAGCTGTTTCGTCCTTCCATTAATCATTGGTGAATTTAGGGGACAAAAATGGTTGAAATCTAAATTGGCCTAAACAACTATCAAAGCAGGAGGGGTCGAGTTGCATACAAACAATTGCATTTAAAACCAATTCTTCAATTTTATGAAGTCAAATATGACACAGCGTCAACACACATGGTCAAAATCGAAACCAAATTCAGTACTAAGCATCAACGTCAACCAAGGAGATAACAAATAATAAGACATTATAAACTAACTGAAACCCGAGCAAGCAATTCGTACGGGCATAACTGCGTTAGGCCAAAGTCGATTGGAGACTCGTCTTGCTGTT